ATAAAGTCATGGTTGTATTTATTCATCTGTTTGTAAACCATAATTAATAATCAGGAAACGTTTTCTCAAGTTACAGTGTAATGATAAAAAGTAGTAATGATACAAAATATAAAATATGATCACGCACCCCTCATAACAGAATATAAATGGGAAACAATCAGTAGTTTCTTTAGTAAGCAAATGGAAAATAAAGGAAAATATTAATGTCTATGTCTCATAGCATGTTAAAATTCACTTTTAGGGTCAGCCCCATAGTGTAGCAGTTAGGGGAGCTGGACCCCACATGTCCAACCATTTGAATCCTGGCTCCAGTGACTTGAAAAATACAGTGGGTGTACCAGCTTAACTTGGAGATTAAGGCGCCGGATCCCATATGACCAACTGCATGATTTGAGTCCTGGACCCAGCAGCTTGGAAATCACACTGGGCATTTGTGCATGGATACCCAAAATCCTCAGAGGAGACTAGAGGAGAAGGGACTGTGGCATGGCCATTTGCCCAGGGGGTGGGGAGTGTGATTTCTCACTTTTCCTCTCTCTGTCACTCTCTGGCAAGCACATATGCCCTACAGAGGGGGGGAAAAAGCCACTGGGCAGGTGTATGTACATGCCCAAAATCCTGACAGGACAGAGAAATGAAGAAAAATGGATTGCAGTGTGACCATGTCCCATTGGGAATGCTTTGTCCCTTTATCTCTCTCTCTCTCTCTCTCTCTCTCTCTCCCCCCCCCTCACATAATTGCATGTACCTTCTTGCAATTAAAAAATAATTTTATTCTTCCAATTAAGTAGTAATAAAATCTTGTAATAATTTAACTTCCTATAACTGCAAAGTGTTGTGGGAAGGAGAGGGAAATGGAACCATTTCATCTTACCAATTGGAAAAGTATACATTTCAACAAGGCTATCATATCTCTACAAGATCAGTGGATATTAAACTACAGCAAAATTTCTCTGAAATAATAGGAACTGGTGAACCTATACCATGTTTTTGTAATAGCAACTCTAGGATTAGGGAAACATTCACAAATACACATACAAACAGAAAGGTGCAAGATTCTCATTTTAGCTATGTGGTAGTATCAAAAAATGAATATACTCTAAATATCTTTTATGATAACATACTGTGGAATACAATGTGACATGAAGTTATACCTCAAATATCGTTGAATTAAAAAAAAACAAAGTAAATAGAAGGAATAAATATTCAATAAAGCATTTTTTTAAAAATCCTATTATACTACTGTATGTGTTCATGTTTTTGTTGTTTTCTAATTTCTAGAGGGCATATGTACTCGCCAGAGACAGAGAAACAGAGAGAGAGAGAGAGAGAGAGAGGGAGAAAGCACCCTCCCAAAGAGGCATAATCACACTGAAATCCCTTCTCTTCCACTTACCATCATGTTGGGATTTGTGGCATGAACACACACATGCTGGCATGTTTTCTAAGCCACAGAAGCCAGGACCAAACTCTATGGTAGGCCAGGTAGAATCCATTTCCTCTAACCACTAGGCTGTAGGGTCAGCCCTGTATTTATGGTGTTATAAGAGATATTTTTATTTATTAGTGTTGAGGCTGGACACATAACACACCAAACTGGTATCAGTGAAGAGGGGTGGGACCTTCTGAAGAGGGGTAGCACCTCCTGGATTTGGAGTGGTGGTTGTTAAAGGAAATTAGACTTACTCTGTTTTAGTTTACTGGAGCCTTCATAACGAAGTACCACAGACTAGCTGTCTTAAACTAGAGAAACTTCCTCCCAGTCTTAAAGGCTAGAAGGCTTTTAGGGTTAAATTCTTCTGAGGCCTCTCTCCTTAGCTTGTAGATGGCCATCTTCTCCCTGTATTTCCCCTGGTTATCCTTTTCCTGTGTATCTGTGTCCTAATACCCTTTTCTAATGAGAATACTAGATTCATTGTATTAGGGCCATCCAATATGGCCTCATTTTACCTTAATTACTGAGTTGAAGTCCTTTCTTCCAAATACAGCCACATTTTGAGGCACTGGAGGCTAGAATTTCTAGATACAAATTTGGAAAGAGGGAAAAGGACTGACACAAGTCAGTACATAATATATTCCCAACATTCTTATTTAAAACAAATAACACTGGATCTATATACAAGGTTGAGGCTAAACAAGATTGTAAAAGGAAATTATAATTTATTCGAATACAGAAAAATGCCCTTCATAGGAAATCTATTTGGTCTTCAAAACTTTAAGAATGCTAAAACACCAAACTGCTCACACTGGTAATGGAAATGGAAAATGGAAGTAGAAAAAGAAACATTAACTTTTGGGAGGACTAGCAGTTAGCGTTATGGCTATGTTGCTGGACTCTCATGTAGTCGAATGCAGTTCGAGTCCTGGACCCAGTGGCTTAAAGTCATTCCGGGTGCATGTGCATGTGTGTCCAAGATCCCAAAAGGAGAATAAAGGAGAAGGGATTGTGGCGTGGCCATCCCCCCTGGGGGGTGATTTCTCACTTTCTGTCTCTCTGTCTCTCTCTGTCTTTCTGG